CCTCTCGGAGCCCCCTCCCCAGCGCGCAGGGCCCCCGGGCCTCCTCCAGCCCAGCCACGAGCGCCTTTCGGGGAACTCGCCCAGAGGAAGGGGAGGTGGTATCAGGAGAAAGAAAAACCAGGCTGAATAAGGTGATCGGGGGAGGGTGTCGCGAGGAAAGAGAAAGGGGAGAGGGGCTCCAAGCCCCACCGACCAACGTCCAAACTTTCGGAGGATGGGTGCGGAGGAAGTCATCCCGACCGAAGCGCAGGGACGCGGGGTGAGCGGGGACCCCTGGCAGTGCCCGCGCCGCTGCGGAGCTGACAGCTTCCCCCAGCCTGGAAAATGCCCCAGGCTCGCGGTGAAGGCAGGACCCGAAAAGACAGGAAAAAGGAGAAAACTGCTCGGCCCAACGTGCATGATCCGCCACTTAATCCAAAAGTTAAATCCCGAAAAACGCAGCCCCCCAAAGAAAGTGGAAAATCTGGTCCCCCGGTGCCTCCTCCCTCCCTCAGCAGAGCAAATCCTTGAGCCAAAAAAGGGGGAAAGAGATAGAAAAGGGGGGCAGAGCGGAAGAGATGGTCGGGATGAGGGGATGTGTGCGAGAGCGAGCGAGAGCGAGCGAGCTAGGGGCAGAGAGGGAGAGAGGCGGAGAGGGAGAGGGAGAGAGAGGGAGCGAAATATCAAAGATTGTGCAAGATCAGGCTGGAAAGATAATCGATACTCGACCTAAATTTAACACAAACTACTCAATAAAAGTTAAAGAAAAAACTTACTTTCCATTTCCCCTGCAGTTCCTACTCGATCTTCGCCTCTTTTTTGTTTTGCTTTTATTTTACTTACAGCTGATCACATCCAAGTAAAACGAGAGGGTTCATTAAAAAAAAAAATAAAAAAATAAAAAAATAATCCTCGAACTTTATTGGGTGAAAATAAAAACGCTGGAGCAGAAAGTGGGGGGCATGGAGCGGTCCTCGGGGGTCCGGGAGGAGTTAAAGCATGTGCCGACCGCGGTCTCGCTGTTTGGTTGTGAAGGGGTTGGGAAAAGGAGGAAAGGAAATGAAAATCCGATATGTCTTTATTCTGCTAATTATTATCGTTTTAGCCCTGTTTAAAAAAATGGCTGATTAAGTTGAGTGCGCATGTCTTTGTGTGTCTATTCCCGATATGCACTCTGGGAATGAGAGAGGAGAGCGAGGGAGAGGGAGAGGGAGAGGGGGGAGAGAGAGGTGTAATTAGTGAGGTGATCAACATTCCCCAGACTGCAAATGACGCGCAGCCCGGACTCTGAGCAACCCGGGAGGCTCGCGGCTTCCAAGGCTCCGAGCGCTGTGGCTGGAGCCCGGGACGCAGCGACCGCGGAGAGGACAGGGATGAGGATCTCTGGGGCTCGCACCCCACGCGCCGCTACGCGCGACTCCCAAACTTCATTAGACACACACACACACACACACACACACATACACACACACACTCCTAGAAGGGGAAGAAAATAAAACATAAATAGCACCAAAGCAATGCCCTTTAACCATTCGAGATTTTTTTTTTTTAATGAGGCAAAGTAATTATTATCGGACCAGAGATTTGTTTACTAGAGAGCTTTAAGCAGAAATAGGAGTTAGGGTAATAAAGAGCTTTTCCCTGCCTAGTTTATTCTGCTATGCTTATGAACGCACTTTAATGGTGAAATGCGGGGGCCTGAGCAAATATGCAGATGTATGTAAATAAAGGATGCCTGGCTGTGTGCAAACACCGCTCAGCTCAGCCTGTTTTCAAGGAGCGATTGCACTCTAGATCCATACTCTATTTAAACACGTATCTTTTTCTTGCATACACAGGAGAGAAAACCCAGGGCATGGGAGATGGAAGCGGTGGTTAGTTTACTCAAAGTAAACTTTCAAATGAGAATAAGTGATGGTGGCAGGGGTGATAGTGGGGTACAGTTCCAGCCTTTACATAATATACTTGAATATTTTAACACAATTGCATAAGTTCAATATAATAGCTTTAAGAAGACTTAGGGGGGACAAAAACCTTTCATCTTTGGAGTCTGTTGAGTTATCTTTCTGGAAGCACATTATGATGAATTTTAAAACCCCACTACAGATCTCATTAGAATGAAATATATTTGGTATTTTCTGGTGCAAAATTTAAGGTGGCTGATTCTCATTTGAAAATCTAATTATCTCTTTCCAATATTACAGATGTGAATATGAGTGACACTTTCATTAAAAGATAATTAACTAAAACTAGGAATAGACATACTTTTAAATACCCCCTACTGAATATGGAATATATATATATATATATAAAAAAATGGAATATATATATATATATATATATATACATATATATATATATATATATGAATTCAAGCAGTCTCTTGATACACCGCTACACTATAGGTCACAAGAAACATCATCTTTGTAATATTTCAAAAATAGGAATTTCTAGAGAGAAAGTGAGGGTACCAAATCAAACAAGCTAAACACAGGAAATACTTGCAATGTCCAGCTTCCTGGACAGGTGAGGAGTCAGCTGCTTTTGAGTTGACAGGTCTTTGAAGTTCTGGATCGCCAGGATCTGCTTCAAAACCATGTCTTAGGCCTTAAGCACCAAATCTACCAAATACCAACAGAAAGGTTTATCACACAAGCCCTTGGAATGGCAGATGCTGCACACTGGCGTCTTTCTGGGCCTAAAACCTTAAGTTATCAGTGAACATTTGGAAAATCCTAGGACTGATGCAAATGGAATGAAAAACCAAACAAAACACCTGGGAGGATAAAAGCAGAGTCCTCCAAAGAGCAGACCTAGGCCCAGATTAGGAAAGCTGGTTGCCTTCAGCAGCTGGCTAAGGTTACAATGAAAATCCAGAGGCTTGGAGAGGAGAATCAAATCTAGATATGGTCTTTATTAAGAGAAAAAAGCAAATCACCACCTTAGGAATCTGGCATTGGTGAATGTATTAGTGTTTTAGTAACCCGGGCTGCTAAAGGCTAGCAGAGAGAAAAATCATCTACCTCTCCTAAGATTTCAGTTCAAAGTTCTTTGGGAAGAAATGTGCTCCAAGTGGAAGACTTCCTGAAATTTTAAAGTTACTTTGTTTACCGTCCCACCTTCACACAGCAACTGTATCGCCAATTTGCCAGCAGTATCTGATTGCACCTCAGTGGGGTTTATCCATGCGCCTTAAGAAACATACATGCACAAGGGGTAAATTTAAATTCTCTGTAACTTGCAAGTGAAAAAGGTGTTTATGTAGCGTTACTGTTTACCAAGAAACACCCCAGAGAGCCAAAATTCTGGCTTTAAAAAAACTACTTGAGGTGTGTGCTGTGGAGAAGGGGGAGTAGGGATTTTAAAGAGACTGAGGGGAAATGAAGGCAGGGAAACTTTCAGGTTCAAATCAGAAAAGATCAAGCCCTTTGTGGGAGAGGGCTCCATGTACAAGCTCACTGATGGAAAAACCATTTCCTGCGATTTCAGGCGGGTAAATGCCTATGATGAAGGAAACACCTGAGAACAATAAGTCTGTTTCAGGCTCAGGTGAAGAAAGGGGTCTATTTCTGTCATGGAAGAATAGGGAAATGATGATCATTGCGTTTTCAAGTTCTTGATTTCTTTTGCCTTTTCCTCCCTGAAACACCATCAATAACATTAATGTCATTAATGTCAAAACAGCAAACGTCAAATCAGGAAAATCATTTACAAAATTTGGTGGCCATTTCTCCTCAATGGTCCCCACCCCCATCTTTTCTTGGAAAAATGCAGGTCTGTGTGTGTGTGTGTGTGTGTGTCGGGGGTGTGTGTGTGTGTGTGTGTGTGTGTGTGTGTGTGTGGCAGATGTTGAATTCTAAGTAAGAAAACAAAAGGACAGAGGATTTGTGAGATGGGTGCCCACTTTTGCAATCCCTTCTGCTGGAGAGTATTCCCCTCTTAGTGTGTGTCTGTGTGTTCTTATTGTTGTGGCTGTGGTGGTTGTTTCTAATCATCTCATTCTCGTCTTCTTTCACCTCTTTCCTAAGAAGAGAGGCTGGTGGGGGGGTGAGGGTCGAGGGTTAATGGGCTGAGGGGAAGGGGCAGAGAGAGACTAGCGCAGAGTCAAGAGTTTCCTCCAGGGCTTGGCCTCGGAGCGCGCCAGCGCGAGGAGGGCTCAGGGAGAAGCCGCTGCAGGTCTGCTTGGGGTGGGCCAGGAGGCGCTGAGCGCGGCGCCGCGGGCAGGGGCGCAGCGAGGCGGACGAGCCCGAGCTCAGTCTGTGGGCTGCTCCGGGGCGCGGGCGCGATCCGCTCGGCTCCACTGGGCTGAGCCGCGGCCACTCGCGCCCTCCTTCTCGCCTCCTCTCGCCAGGAAACCCAGCTGCTCCTCATGGCATCTGCGGAACCCCT